CTATATATATATATATATATGTATCTGTATATATATATATATATGTGTGTGTGTGTGTGTGTGTACAGTATTTAGTGGTGGTCATCGTCGATTTTGACATGGAGACCTAGATGCAGCTACACCAGTTCTTCTCAAATACTGGGACGCCCTGGGCCGATGCCATGGGGGGCACATGTGACCCAGGGAACACGTTTTTTTTTCACCATTCTCATTTTGTTGTGTGTGTTCCGGCAGCTGTTTGCTCGTATCTCTCAGGCTAATTAATAATAAAGTTATGAACAAATATTGCTGCCGTGTCGTTTTGGGAGCCATGCATGAACCGTATCGCTCCCCTCTGCTGCTGAGACGATAAATAAATAACTCCGACACCTCCGCTGCTGGTTTTTTTTTTATGCTCTGGACGTCACTCACAGCACGCATGCAACAAAGAGTAAACTCAAAGCGAGAGCAACACCTGCCCCCTTTTTCCTCTTTCGCTTTGACAAAATGTTTTAGTTTTGTCGATGAGTTTGTCAAAGCACAATTTATTTATTTTTCTGTAAATACAGAAGTAATGTTTAATAAATGTTAGGACTATTCTTTGCTAACAAAATATATTCACCTCCTCAGCTAAGCTGCTGTTTTTTTGATGCTCTGGACACTTGTCACCCACAGCACGCGACAAAGAGTAAACTCAAAGCGAGAGGGTTACCTGCCCCCTCCTTCCTCTTCCGCATTGACAACATTTTTTAGTTTTTATTTTTATGTGCCCATTGATCACCTCATTTTGATTTTAAAAAAAAAAATCAGCATAAATTGTTTTATTCATTTTTGTTTTGTAGGTAAAATGTTCCTGAGTTAAAATGTTGCTGGTCAATTTGAATTTATTATTATTTATTGATTATATTTAATTTTGTTTTTCAGTATCAAATGGTCAAAAATGTTTACAGTTTAAATAAGGATTTAAGTTTTTTCTTCTTTCAGGCAAATTGATGCACTTTAAGTTGTTTCTGTTACAGACTAAAAAAACAATGTTAATAAAATTATTCTTCGTTGTACGTTGATCTATATATCTTTTTCTTCTTCTTTAATGTTAATAAGGACACAATGTTATGCAGAGATGTACTTATAACAATTTTATAGACAAATTATACTATTTACAGTCACGGCGGAGAGTGTGTGTGTGTGTGTGTGTGTGGGGGGGTTATTTCTTTCTAGTGGGGGTGTAACAGAAAATAATTGAGAAGCACTGAGCTACACTATAAAATGTTAGTTGGTATCGCTTATTTTTCAAGTTATCATGTTCACAACATTCACTAACAGATGAAGAGATGGAGGGTATTTCCACTTCCTACTCTTTGTTCCACAACAAGGGTCAGTCAAAGCATTTTCCGTCTGACAGTCTGAAAACCAGAAGATTTGCAGAGGTCAGCGTTAGCCTTGGTTGGCCTGCAATGTCTCTGGTTGCAGAACAGTATGATTGATTTCAACCAAAATTCTGCTAACTACTATTACCATATCACCTGACAGGTTTCTAGTGCACTATATGAAAATTGGAGTTTTGAGCAGCACTAAGAGCTTAAACGGGTGATTAACACAGTTTATCTGCTCATGTGAACCATTCTGGCACTCAGTTTTTAGTCTGTTGTTTTGTGTGTTAGGAGATGAAACATTTAGAAGCCACTGGTCTTAAATATGTTCAACTAATCTATATCGTTAAAGATTTTAAACACGAAGAAGCTTTGCAGCAAAAGTGATACCTGGGTAATGTGGGGGGGGATGGCAGGCCAAGAAAGTGCCCACACCCTCATATACTGTCTGCACACTTCTGCTTTCTGGGGAGAAGTCATGAAGGTCTGCAGAGACAATGAAAATGTAGAAAATTAAACAAAAACACAACAAAACTTGAATTATAAGATGTTAAAATACTTTTCATTCAACCTTTATTTAGACAGGTAAATCCCATTGAGCCTCAAGGACTCATTTACAAGAGAGACCTGACTTGACCCATAAATACACACAGCTGTCTCTGACAGCAAAATGAGCCACACAGGAAAGTAGGAAACTCACAGCCGAACTTCAGATTAGCTGCTCTGCTGATGATGGTGCCACAGCGGTTAATAGCCAGACACTGGTATGATCCGGTATCTCTGACAGCCTCTGGGTTGCTAATCACCAGGGTCCCAGCCACTAATGTGTATCTGTTTGAACCAAGAGGGACCTCAGTGCCATTCAGAAGCCACCTGCAAAACAGAGGTCAGTGAAAAATCACACACATGCGCAATATGCCTTTAATATAAATTAATGTATTTCAAAATTGTCTGTACAGCAGAACCAGTCTTTAATTTTAGTAAACATGAGAAATACTTCACAATGGTTCAATGGCTTTATTCAAAGTATCCTGGAATCAGGAGGCGCAAGACGGCTGCTGATCGGTGAACTGCGTTTTGCGAGGCTCCCATCAGCCCCACTGAAAAATTGCCTTTTATAATTATATCCTCACTAGCTCCATGTTGGATTCTGCCTCTGAGACTGGTGTCGTCACATGATTGACTCGACAGAGCTGTAATATGGCCTCTAAGTTAAAGAAATCTAAAGCAGTGGTGTCTTCACCCACACGGCCCATTGTCACAGCTACAGCCTCAGGACACAGTGATGGAACGGCAGGTGTAACAGCAGTTGCGTCGGCCCCGCCCTCGCCGGGCTCTGGAAAGACAGTCGAGTCGGCTCTGAAGTCAGACACTCTGGCTTCAATTCAACCTGAAGTCACAGCGATAATTAGGATGGAGATGAAGGCGGCTCTGATGGATAATGTTAATTTTATTAGGAGCAAATTGTAGGTGGTCTGAGCAGAGCGTGATGGTGCCACCGCAGGCCTCAGAGCAGAGTTTGACCAAGTCAAGCTAAAGGTTACAGAGAATGAGAATGGGCTGTCTTTATGCTTTATTCTTGTCTTTATTCTTGTCTTCTTGTCTTTATGAGGTGGAGGCTCTGCGTGGGACCATTGGAATTGAGAAATGAGGTGGATGGACTGAGAAAATGGCTTGAATCCATGGAGGGGAATATAAATCGGAACAATATTAGGTTTATTGGAGTTCTTGAATCACAGGGCTCGTGCACTCCTACAGTGATAGCCAAGATGCTAACGAAGGCACTGTAGCTGGGCAAGTCGCTGCTGATCGACACCATGTACCAAACACCGGGCAGGAGAGCCTCGGATTGTGAATCAAGAGTTATTGTGACCAGGCTGCATTATTATCAAGATTATGTGTAGAAATTACAACGAGCATCCCAGTGGTGGCCCGAGTCACTTCAAGAACTCATCTATGTTCAGCAAAGCTTATTACACGCTAAGCATGGCAAGGGCACGAGCGGCATTCACAGAGGTGAAGCGACTCCTACGGAACCAACCAGGTGTCTAGTATAGAGATGCACCGATTGTAGTTTTCTAGCCGATCACCGATTTCTAAAAAGTCTGACCTGCCGATTACGATTTTGGCCAATACTGATTTTGTTTTATAAGCGACACTGTCAGGTGTTATAAGGTCACAATGCAACTTCAATTTCCCCATCTTATTTTATTGAGGAAGACTTTATCAAATTTCTTACATCAAATTTCTTACATTTAAAATTGAAATTTTTCTTGAAGTTAACTGATCACCAGGAATGCCACTGTGTACTGTCTGGGAGACATTAAAGAACTACCTGAGGGGTCAAATAATGTTTTATTGTACAAACAAAAAAAGAAGGGTTTGGTATGGCTACGACAGTTAACGGGTGATATATTACAATTAGACAGAGAATATAGTCACTTCTCCTCATCACAGGATCTAATGAAACAAACATTTTGTTACTCCATACTGAATTTAATACTTTCTCTACTCAGCAGGCATAATATTTAATTTCTAAAAAAAATGAAATGTGAAAGATCTTTTTTGTAATACCACCATCTACCCTCATGTTTTTCCCCATTTTCCTATCTAAGATTATTATTCTGATAAAAGATGAGAGAGACCGCGCTTAGAGCAGCAGCATCGTGTACTCCGTCCATCTTCCGGACGACTGCATGTACATGTTCTCGTTGTATCTTGGTGCAATGATAATAAAGCTTATTCTGATTCTGATTCTAAATCTAGACAGGGTTACTATGAACACAATGAAAGAGCACATCAGTTACGGCAACAGTCAGCCAACCAAACACTTTGAATAATAAACAACAACCAGGGAGCTGCAAGTCATGACAATGCTAGAATTATTACATTTTAGTAAATTTTACCAGTCATTGTATTCAACTGAGTCATCAGCTAGCCAATCAGAAGTAGAGAACTTTTTTAAAGATCTTAAACTTCCTTCAGTGAATCTTGATCTTGCTGGGGATTTGGATAGGGAGCTCTCTGTAGCTGAGATAAACTCCGCAATCAACGATTTGCAAAATGGGAAATCACCTGGACCAGATGGCTTCCCGTATGAGTTTTTAAGAAATTTTCAAGTCTACTGTCACCCTTATTAATGTCAGTGTTTGAGGAGTTACTTGCTACACAGTCATTTCGAATTGCCATGGACCATTGCCATGGACATTGTCCATGCGTCAAGCTATAATCTTGCTGATACCTAAGAAAGAGAAAGATCCTCTAAACTGCAGCTCATACCAACCTATCACGCTTTTAAATACTGATGTAAAAATCCCAGCAAAGGTCCTGTCAAAAAGACTTGAGCGGGTGGTCCCCACAATTGTCCCACCTGACCAGATGGGGTTGATTAAAAACTGTTGAGCTTTCTTCAATGTTAGGCAGCTGCTTGGTGTGCTGTATACTCCCAGTCCACCCGAGCACACCTGTGACAAAGTCATTCTTTCATTAGATGTGGAAGGAGGCCCAGAGGAAGACCCAGGACACGCTGGAGGGACTATGTTTCTCGGCTGGCCTGGGAACACCTCGGGATTCCACCGGAAGAGCTGGCCCAAGTGGCTGGGGAGAGGGAAGTCTGGGCCTCCCTACTTAGGCTGCTACCCCCGCGACCCGACCCTGGATAAGCGGAAGAAAATGGATGGATGGATGGAGAAAGCATTTGACCAGGTAGAGTGGGGATATCACTTCGAGACTTTAAAGTTACTTAAATTTGGTCCCAAATTTATATCATGGGTGAGGCTGATATACACGTCAAACTCAGTATTAGTTTAAAAGCTCAGTTTCTCAGTGAGCCTGACATATGTGGGGCACAAACGGAACTGAGTGGCTTTGTATCATCCTCACCTGTAGGTAGCAGCTGGACTTGCTCTGGCCTGGCAGCTCAGAGTCACCTTGCCTTCAATCATACCCTCAGGATAAACTAAACTGCTTGGCTGTTCTTCAAACGCTGGTCCACTGTCATGACCCGACACGCACACATCTCCTCCTGCAAAACAGTGTTCAAACAAGACAAAATGTGTCAGGAACTTACAGTGTTGCATTTTATACTAGACATATTTAAGTTAGAAAACTCCTTCTACTAGTTCACTGTGAACTCATTCAGTCACGTGACTTCTTGATTTTTCAGGGTCAGTGTGGTTTAAATGTAGTGGTTATAAAATTGTTTGTTAAAAAATGGACAAAAAACTCATGAAGAAAAATACTATTGTTTTGTATTATTTGGCTAAAATTGTATTTGGTTCATGGTAATTGGGAAATGTAAATGGAATAAACACACCATAATCCATTCCTTAGTTGAAGAAAAATTCATGGGAATGAGATGCACTGTGATTGCTAATCTAAATAGCTATGATCAATTTTTCTGGTCTTGCAGTTCAAAGGTCACAGAATCAGAGTCAGTCTCAGAGATTCTTTATTGTCATTCGCACCCCATGTGGTACATGTGGTGGAAATTATGTACACAGGGTCCCAGTTACATCCAACAATAAAGTGTAAAAGAAAAACAATGATAACATCTAAGATGTGAACTAAGGAAAACATCAACTAAAAATACACTAAGCACTCATAGCATTAAAAACGACACGTCGAACAGCAGCATGAACATGAGTCTGTGTGAGCAGATGAGCACACATGAACACATCAACATGAAAACAGATCAGCAGCAACCAGCAACTGGGCCGGTGTGCTGGGTGAGTGGGGTCCTTCATGATGCAGGTGTCCCTCTTCCTGCATCTGCAGGTGTAAATGTCTGTGATGGTGGGGATGCTGACTCCACCAGTCTTCTGTGCAGCCTTCACCACTCTCTGCAAAGCTTTTCTTTCTGCAGCTGTGCAGCCTCCATGCCACACATTGATGCTCGAGCACAGGATGCTCTCCACTGCACACCTGTAGAAGGAGGTGAGGACTGAGTTTCCCAGACCAGCTCGTCTCAGCCGCCTGAGGAAGTAGAGTCTCTGATGAGCTTTCTTGATCAGGCTGGTGGTGTTGCTGCTCCAGCTGAGGTTGTCATTCATGTGTACACCCAAGTACTTGTAGCTGGAGACCACTTCCACCGCAGATCCTCTTATGTTCAGGGGGTGTAGGTGTTTTAGTTCCTTCTGAAGTCCACAATCATCTCCTTTGTCTTCTTCACATTGATGTGAAGGTTATTCTCTTTGCACCAGCTCTCCAGGTGTTCCACCTCCTGCCTGTAGCTGGACTCATCATTGTTTGTGATACATCCCACCACCGCTGTATCATCTGCAAACTTTACAACATGACAGGCTAGATGGGTAGCTGCAAAATCATACGTGAGCAGAGTAAACACGAGGGGGCTCAACACACATCCCTGAGGAGAGCCAGTGCTGAGGTTATGGTGGAGAAGGAGAATTGTGGATCCTCACTAACTGTGGTCTGTTTGTTAAGAAGTCTAGTACCCTGTTGCAAATGGAGGGGCTTAGTCCTAGTGTGAAAAGTTTGTCCATCAGGGTTTGGGGGATCATGGTGTTGAAGGTGGATGTGAAGTCCACAAAGTGCATCTGGATGTAAGAGTCTTTCTGCTCCAGGTGGTTGAGCACAGTGTGGACCACAGAAGAGATGGCATCCTCTGTTGATCAGTTCTCATGGTATGCATACTAATGAGGGTCCTCGTTGATGTTTGTTTTGATGTGGGTCATGACCAGTTTTTCGAAGCATTTAGTGACTATCGGGGTGAGGGCCACTGGCCAATAGTCATTTAGACCAGTCACTGTAGAGCTTTTTGGGACTGGGATGATGGTGGCAGTCTCCAGGCAGGTGGGTAGTGTCTCCAGGGTAAGTGAGGTGTTAAAGATGTCTGCCAGAGCCTCACAGAGCTGATCAGCACATTCCTTCAACACTTTTCCGGGGATGCTGTCTGGGCCGGTTGCCTTGTGCAGATTAATCCTCCTGAAGGTACTCCTTACTTCTGCTGAGGTCACGATGAGATGCTCTTCATCCAGTGGTGAGGTAAGTCTGGTGCTGGGTGGTCTGTTCGGGTCTTCAAAGCATGCATAGAACTTGTTCAGGGCATCAGGCAGAGATGGGTCTTTGGGGCATTGTTCGCTCCTTCCTTTATAATCTGTTATGCACTTAATGCCCCTCCACATGCTCCGAGGGTCTTGTGAGATGAATTGACCCTCGGTCTTCTGTGCATATGTGGCCTTGGCCTTCTTAATCAACCAGCTCTTTCCTTGTCCTACTCAGTTTCTCTGAGTTTCCAGACCTGAAGGCAGTGTTCCTGGCTTCCAGCAGGGTGCACATCTCTGCATTCAGCCAAGGTTTTCTGTTTGGGTAGTTTTTAACATGTCTGCTGGTGAAGACGGTGTCAGTACATGTGCTAATGTAACCCAGAACTGAGGATGCGTATTGGTCCAGATCAAGCGATCCTCCATTTTCAGCAGCTTCTCTGAAAACTTGCCAGTCTGTTTGTTCAAAACAATCTCTTCGTATGGGGCCACTGTCCTGGATCCAACATTTAACTTTCTTTTGTACCGGTCTGGAGCATCTCAGTGGAGGGAGGTAAGCAGGGACCATTAAGATTGAGATGTGATCAGAGAATCCTAGGTGGGGGCAGGGTTCAGCTTTGTATGCATCTTTTACATTTGTGTAAACATGGTCCAGCGTGTTGTTCCCATGTGTTAGTATGCCCACATGCTGGTAAAAGCTTGGGAGGCAGTCCTTTAGATTCACGTGATTAAAGTCTCTGGCTAACACATAAAGAGCCTCAAGGTGTTTGTTCTGCAAAGAACTTATGATATCGTGGAGCTCCTGCAAGGCGTCATTAGCATTAACATCCGGTGGAATATAAACAGCTGTAATGAAAGTCACTGTGAACTCGCGGGGTAGATAATGTGGCCGACATTTCACTGTTATTTGCTCTAAAGCCTTTGAGCATGAGTATTTTGATGTTTAAAAGCCACTGGGACGTTGTGTTTAGAAAATAAACGTCTCAGTTTCTCTGATACTTCCTCAACATACGGAATGACCACTGGTCTGGGTTCCTCCTTTTCACCAGATGGCTGACTGGAGTCCTGTTTGGGTTTCTTCTCTGCTTTCAGGAAGGCCCAGTTAGGATATCCACATTGCTCTAGAGCCTGTCTTGTGTGGGATTTCTCCTTCTGCCTGGCTCCTGAGCTAGTGGGGACGCTGTCTGCTCTGTGGTACAGAGTCCTGATGACTCCTAACTTGTGCTCCAAAGGGTGATGGGAGTCAAACTGCAAATACTGGTCTGTGTGGGTGGGTTTGCGGTATACCTCAGTTTGCAAATGTCATCTATCAGAGACTGAGACCTCACAGTCCAAGAAAGCCAACCTGCCATTTTTTACATCTTCTCATGTGAACTTGTATTTATCCACAGAGTTGATGTGATCAGTGAAATGTGGAGTGTGCTCTGGGCTATGTGGATCAGTGGAGCATGCTTTATTCACAGGAGGAGAGCTGCTGGTCAGGCTACTTCTTGTTGTGCCATTAACTCTAAAATAGTTATTGAATCAAGTGTTACTTATGTAAAACTAGATTTTTAACAATCCATTAAAATACACCAGAATGCAGGAAATGGCATCTACTTTATTCAAAATGTTCTGGGGGAGGACGCCCAGACCCCCACCACCACCACCACCAGTGTGTGTCTCCCCCCCCCCCCCCCCCAACACACACACACACATTACAAGTGGTTCTGACGCCAATAGCCACCATGTTGCTAAACATCTTCCAGAGCAGGGTCCTCACCTAGCTCACAACTGGACCCTCACCCAGACCAAAGCATGACTCTCACATATAGTACTACATACTACACATCTCACGAACAACAAGATTATTGTCTTTTTCATTTTAAGTGGGCCAAATCACTTCTATTAAAAGTAAACTAACGGAAATAGCTGCTTTAGTTTGATTGTTTTAATAAGCCATGTAACTTGCTATGATCCCAAGTTTTGAAAAGGTTGTGATACTGCTGTGTGGCTACAGCATGCACACCTGATGTTGCTCACAGTGGTCCTCTGTAAATGGTAAATGGACTGTACTTATATAGTGCCTTTTTATCTTATGAAGACACTCAAAGCGTTTTACACTACAATCTGTGCCCTCATTTACCCATTCATACAGCTCTATACTAGATCTCTACAAAGCTAATTGAACAAAACATTCTAATGAGACTAATCAGTGCTTTAGATCACATTCATACACTGATGGGGCACACATCAGAGGCAATGAGGGGTTCAGTGTCTTGCCCAGGGACACTTCAACATGTGACTGCTGGTGGATTCGAACCCCCAACTCTTGCATTGGAGGACAATTGCTCTAACCACTCAGCCACAGCTGCCCAGTGCAACTCAGGGAGCTTGTGTGTTTGCCCAGACACATGAAAAATTAGAGGGAACATTGAAGGTGGCTAATGAACACTTAAAAACAGTAACGTTTTGACATTTGCAACATTTCTTGTTTCTATACATTTATTTTTGCACTTTCAAAATCAGAGACATGCTGGGTTAATATGCTGTTACAAAAAAGAAAACAAGATCAGCCTAAAGAAACAGAAAAAAGAAGTCAACACTAAAAATCAAACGCCAGTTAAAAATGTAAACCAGCCTTCAAGCTAACCTAAGATAAATCTAAATCTAGGTTTATCATTGGCACTGACATCATTATTACCAGTAATATTTATCAGTGAGAGTAATGACAAATAGGTGTTAAATTAAAGCTTACCGACAGCCGCCTGCAGGGCCACTGAAGTCAAGACCAGCAGACACAGAATGACCTCCATTTTCTGGATCCAGCAAGGCCTCCAATAGAAGGGAGACCTGTTTGTTGTCCAGATGAAGAGTGGTCTGATCTGTGCAGAAATAAGGACAAGATTGTTTTCGTGAAAATCTTTAAAGAAAGAATCCAAAGGATCAAACTTTTAACAGCACTACAGAAATGGTAAATGGACTGCACTTATATAGCGCCTTTCTATCTTATCCAGATACTCAAAGCGCTTTACACTACAATCTGTGCCTCATTTACCCATTCATACAGCACTCTACTAGATCTCTACAAAGATAATTGAACAAATCATTCTAAAGAGACTAATCAGTGCTTTGAGATACTATTCATACACTGATGGGACACACATCAGAGGCAATGAGAGGTTCAGTGTCTTGCACAGGGACACTTCGGCATGTGACTGCTGGTGAATTTGAACCCCCAACTCTTGCATTGGAGGACGACTGCTCTATCCACTCAGTCATAGCCGCCCTAGAAACTTAAGAATAATTTTATTTCACCACAAATACAAAGACAATCCGCATTCCTGACCACAAGCCGTACATGACCCCGACAATGAATTTCAGAAACACAACAAAAAGGTTAGGACGCTGAAAATTAAATCTAGATATAACATCCCTTCATCTGTTGAGACTTTAAGCCAGTGGTGTAGTCTACGTGATATGCCAACATACGGCATATAACCACTAAAAATTCTATTAAATTCAATTCAGTTTATTTATATAGCGCCAAATCCCAACAAAGTTGTCTCAGGGCACGTTACAGGAACATTCACATAAAAGCCAGTTAGTAAAGTTCTCTATCTAAGGAATCCAGCAGACAAGTTGAATCTTGGCTTCCTTGCAGTCTCCCATCCTGAGCAAGCACAGTGGCAAAAGTGGAAAGAAAAACTCCCTTTTTAACAGGAAAAAACCTCCAGCAGAACCAGACTCAGGACAAGTGGCCATCTGCTTTGACCGGCTGGTTGAGAGGACAGGAAGGAGAGACAGACGAACACAGAATGGTAGGTCCAGGTATAGGTCCAGGTCCAGGTATAGGTCCAGGTCCAGGTGTATGTGAAAGACAAAAACACATGTTGAGGATAGAAAAAAAATTACAAATACAAAACAGGTTGAGCAGAGTCAGTAAAGACAGCAGCAGAGTGAAAATTGTGGTCAGTTTGTCCTCCAGCAGTCTAAGCTTATAGCAGCATAACTAAGGGACAGCTCAGGAAACCCAAGCCGACCCTAACTATAGGATTTAGCAAAAAGGAAAGTCTTAAGCCCAGTTTTAAAACTGGATAATGTGTCAGCCTCACGGACAGATTTTGGAAGTTGGTTCCACAAGAGAGGAGCCTGATAACTGAAAGATCTGCCTCCCATTCTGTTTTTGTAAACTCTAGGAACCACAAATAAACCTGCAGTCTGAGAGCGAAGTGCTTTGTTAGGAAAATATGGAACAATAAGATCTGTAATATAAGATGGAGCCAGGTTGTTGAGAGCTTTGTAGGTTAGAAGTAAGATTTTGAATTCTATTCTGGATTTGACAGGGAGCCAATGGAGAGAAACTAAAACTGGAGAGATATGATCTCTCCCAGTAACTCCAGTTAAGACGCTGGCAGCAGCATTTTGGATCAACTGAAGACGTTTTAAAGAAGTATTTGGACACCCAGATAATAAACCATTGCAATAGTCCAGTCTAGATGTGACAAATGCATGGACCAGTTTTTCTGCATCATCTTTAGATCAGATGTTTCTAATGTTAGTGATATTACGCAGGTGGAAGAAGGAGGTTCTAGTAACGTTTTTAATGTGGGGGATAAAAGACGTGTCCTGATCAAAAATAACACCAAGATTTTTAACATTAGAGCTGGAGGACAGATTAATGACATCTAAGGAGGGAGAAAGACTGAAAAATTCATTCCTAAGGTGATCAGGTTCAAAAACCAAAACCTCAGTCTTGTCTGTTCAACAGGAGAAAATTAAGGGTCATCCAGGTTTTTATGTCTTTAAGACATGCTTGTAGTCTATGTAGCTGATTGGATTCATTGGGTTTCATGGAAAAATATAATTGTGTGTCATCAGCATAACAATTGAAATTTATCCCATGCTGTTTAATAATTTTACCTAATGGAAGCATATATAAAGTAAAGAGTATTGACCCAAGCACTGAGCCTTGAGGAACTCCATGACTAACTTTGGTGTATGAAGAAGATTTATTATTTACATTTACAAACTGGAATCTATCAGATAGATATGATTAAAACCATTTTAGAGCTGTTCCTGTAATCCCAACATCATATTCAAGCCTCTGTAGTAAAATATTGTGATCAACTGTATCAAATGCAGCACTGAGGTCTAACAGGACCAGAATAGACACAAGTCTGTTGTCTGAGGCCATGAGAATATCATTAGTGACTTTTACTAGTGCTGTTTACGTACAATGATGAACTCTAAACCCTGACTGAAACTCTTCAAACAGATTATTTCTTTGTAGATGTTCACGCAACTGACCTGCAACTATTTTCTCTAGAATTTTTTAGATGAAAGTTAGATTAGATATAGGTCTATAGTTGGCCAGACTTTCTGAATCAAGGTCAGACTTCTTAAGTAAAGATTTAATTACAGCAACCTTAAAGTGCTGTAGTACATAACCATCCATTAAAGACAAATTAAGTAGATCCAAAATGTGGACATTAATTAGTGGAAATACCTCTTTAAACAGTCTGGTTGGGATGGGATCTAGCAGGCATGTGGATGGTTTGGATGAGGTAATTATTTTTGACAATTCAGAGTTCAACTGGACAAAAACTGTCCAAACATAAATCAGGCTCTAGTGAAATTTTTAAAGACGCCTCATTTGACAGCAGACTAGAGATAGTAGAAGGAAGGATGGTTTGAATTTTCTCTCTAATTGAAATAATTTAATTTATAAAGAATCTCATGAAGTCATCACTACTTATAGTTGTAGGGACACATGGTTCAACAGAAATGGGACTTTTAATTAGTCTAGCAATAGTACTAAACAGAAACCTAGGGTTATTTTTATTCTCCTCTATTAAAGATGAGTAATATAAAGTTCTAGCTTTACGGAGAGCTTTTTTATATGTTAGCAGACTATCTTTCCAAGTTAAATAAAATTCTTCAGCATTAGTAGAGCACCATTTTCTCCTGGTTTCTAGATGCTGCTTTAAAGTACGTAACTCAGAATTGAACCAAGGAGCCAGTTTCCTCTGATTGATTACTTTCTTTTTCAGTGGAGCAATTTTATCAAGTGAAGTTTGCATTGAAGTTGTAAGATGATCAACTAGATGATCTAAGTCTCTGTTCTCTGATGCATTACTCTGCAAGACAGAGGAAAACATTGATGGAAGAGATTGTTTAAATTTGGTTACAGCATTTTCTGATAATCACCTGCTGAGATGAACTTTACTCTCAGTGACTGTGTAGTCATTTAATGTAAACTCAAAGGTTATTAAAAATGGTCGGACAGAACAGGATTTTGAGGAACTATTACCAAGTCCTTAATCTCTACACCATAGGTCAGAACTAAATCAAGAGTGTGATGATAAGAATGAGTAGATGTGTGGACATTTTGGGTAAAACCAAATGACTCTATTAAATTATTAAAGGCTATGCTTAAGCTATCACTTTCAACATCTACAGGAATATTGAAATCACCTATTATTATGATTTTATCAGTATTTAATAATAAGTCAGTTAATAATTCTGAGAATTCAGACAAAAACTGAGAGTAAGCTCCTGGTGGACGATATATAACAACTAGTAAAAATGGCTTTTCTGATTTCCATTTTGGATGAGAAAGACTGAGGGACAGCGATTCAAAAGAATCATAACTAATAACTGGTTTGGCATTAATCAATAATCCTGACTGAAAAATAGAAGCTACTCCTCCACCTCGGCCAGTTGTTCTAGGAACATGAAAATTTAAATAATTAACAGGAGTGGATTCATCACTAACAAAATCCTCCTGTTGTAGCCAAGTTTCTGTCAGACAGAATAAATCAATATGATGATCAGTTATCAGTTCATTAACTAACAGGGATTTAGAGGAAAGAGATCTGATGTTCAATAATCCACATTTAATAATTTTATGATTTTGCTCTGGTAAAATAACTGTGTTTATTTTAATCAGATTTTTATGGTTGATATTTTTAGAGATGATTTTTGGTTTATTTAATTTGAGCCGTGGGCGAGTTGACACTGTTTCAATGGGGGTGTCAGAGTCAGAGATTCTTTATTGTCATTCGCACCTCATGTGGTACATGTGGTGGAGCGAAATTGTGTACACAGGGTCCCAGTTACATCCAACAATAAAATGTATAAGAAAAACAGTAATAACATCTAAGATATGAACTAAGAAAAACATCAACTAAATATACACTAAGCACTCATAACATAAAACATTGAACATCAGCACAAACATGAACATGAGTCTGTGAACAGATGTGCACGCATGAACACATCAACATTGAAACAGATCAGCAGCAACATGAAACAGATCAGCAGCAACATGAACCAGATCAGCAGCAACATGAAACAGATCAGCAGCAACATGAAACAGATCAGCAGCAACATGATGTGATTTTTCACAGTGATTATTCTAGTTAGAGATTCATGAGTCTAACAGCCTCAGGGTAGAAGCTGTTCCTCAGTCTAGTGGTTCTACACTTAATGCTCCTTAACCTCCTTCCTGAGGGGAGTGGGGCAAAAAGTGTGTGTGCTGGGTGAGTGGGGTCCTTCATGATGCAGGTGGCCCTCTTCCTGCATCTGGAGGTGTAGATGTCTGTGATGGTGGGGAGACTGATTCCAACATCTTCTGTGCAGCCTTCACCACTCTTTGTGGACTCACATCTGCCTTCAACACCATGATCCCCCAAACCCTGATGGACAAACTATCCACACTAGGACTAAGCCCCTCCATTTGCAACTGGGTACTAGACTTCTTACCAAACAGACCACAGTTATTGAGGATCCACAACTTCTCCTCCTCCACCATAACCCTCAGCACTGGCTCTCCTCAGGGATGTGTGTTGAGTCCCCTCCTGTTTACTCTGCTCACGTATGATTGTGCAGCTACCCATCCAGGCTGTCACATTGTAAAGTTTGCAGATGATACAGCGGTGGTGGGATGCATCACAAACAATGATGAGTCCAGCTACAGACAGGAGGTGGAACACCTGGAGAGCTGGTGCAGAGAGAATAACCTTCACATCAATGTGAAGAAGACAAAGGAGATGATTGTGGACTTCACAAGGAACAAACACACCTACACCCCCCTGAACATAAGAGGATCTGCGGTGGAAGTGGTCTCCAGCTACAAGTACTTGGGTGTACACATGAATGACAACCTCAGCTGGAGCAACAACACCACCAGCCTGATCAAGAAAGCTCATCAGAGACTCTACTTCCTCAGGCGGCTGAGACGAGCTGGTCTGGGAAGCTCAGTCCTCACCTCCTTCTACAGGTGTGCAGTGGAGAGCATCCTGTGCTCCAGTATCAACGTGTGGCATGGAGGCTGCACAGCTGCAGAAAGAAAAGCTTTGCAGAGAGTGGTGAAGGCTGCACAGAAGATGTTGGAGTCAGCCTCCCCACCATCACAAACATCTACACCTCCAGATGCAGGAAGAGGACCACCTGCATCATGAAGGACCACACTCACCCAGCACCAACTTATATATATAACTCCACAGGAGCTGGCTGTTTTCATTGGGTTCGGGTCATCCAGAACACCGTCCCTGCACAGGTCTGCAGACCGCAGCCCAAACTAACGAGACCGATCTGAGCCTAGAAATGAGTCCGATCCACTCTCCTCTGCAGTCTGAAGACCTGCAGCTGTAATAAACCCTGCCCGTGAACAAACCAATCAGTTTTTCAGTCCGAGGCATCAACACATGCAGACTGCCCTGCACCGTAAACAAGATCCAAACGGACTGAACCGAACCCTGTGAACCAGGTCAGGACGTTTGTAAATGGAGATGTTTGGAAGGAATGACAGGAGAGAAACAAAGAGCTGATTTTAGAGCTACTGCGTCAAAGCGCGGCTCGTCCACTGGAGTTCCCCCAGAACCAGTGGACAGCTCCGGACCCGCAGCGCGTGTCAGAGATCAGCAGCGCACGCAGGAAAGAGGAGGTCTGTTTACCTGGATGTGGGTCGGTCCTCCCCGGTGTGAGGCCGCTGCTGGTGCTCAGGAGGCAGATGGTAAAGGAGTCCCGAACCGGCCGTCCTCCCCCCGTGACTCACTGACAGGCCAGGCTGCTCCCTCTTCCTCTCCCTGCTCACCCCTACTTTCTGCGAATCAACATCCGCTCTCCTCTCACCACCATCGGCTTACTGCCACAATAAAACTACTTCCGGTCTGAATTCTAGAATATAAATCACCTGCTTGTCTGTCTATCCATCCATCCATCCTTCCATCTATTCATCATCCATCCATTCATCATCCATCCATCATCCATCAATCCATCCATCCATCATCCATTCATTCATTTATTTTATACCCATCCATCCTTCCATCCATCCTTCCATCCATCCATCATCCATCCATCCATCCATCATCCATCATCCATCCATCCATCATCCATCCATCCATCCATCATCCATCATCCATCCATCCATCATCCATCCATCATCCATCCATCCATCCATCCATCATCCATCCATCCATCCTCCATCCGTCCATCATCCATTCATTCATTTATTTTTATACCCATCCATCATTTCTATTTCAGTTAAACAGCCGTCATCTAATGAAAACTTCATTTTTTTATTTTATTTTGAAGGGAATGCAGACTAACTTCCTTTATTATTTTCTTCTTTCCCCCACATAGCTCTCTGCCTTCTGCTTTTGTTTGGGCCTCTGCTGTCTGAAAGTGAAACAGAAGGGAGGTGCCTGATGCTAAACTGCCCCCCACCCTCACAACAGCACCCCAGTCTCACACCCTGCCCCACCCCGGCAGTGAGGAAGAGGTCCCTAGGGAGCAGACAGGAGAAAGAGCTCCTCCAATTATTCAGCTGCAGTGACAGATGCTATGACGTTACATGAAAAATAAAATTAAAATTATTTAAATTGTATAAAAGACAAAAGAAAAGGCCGTATACTATAACGCGGAGCCAAAAACTGATTATAATTAAAGTAAATGTTGGGCACTGGGGTGTTGCTGCCAGAGTATGGAGTAGGGGGTGTCTGAGCCAGCAGATTGCACTGAGTGATGAATCTGAATGAAATACATGTGAAATGGTTAACTGACTTTATGTGTGTGAATGTTTTTGTGCAGTGCTCTGCGTCGACTTCTGTTGAGACTTGGTGCTTTATACAGTAAATACACTGAACTGAATTGGATTCTTTTATGGGCTATCCAGTCCCTATTTATCCAAAGCAGGAGCTGTCTGAAGCTTGTTCTCGGTGCGGATTGGACTCCGCCAGTGTTGTCTCTTGTCTCTGATCCTGACTGTGGTGTTCATGGACAGAATCTCCAGGTGCAGTCATGGAGTTTGGGAACCTCAGTGTCTCATTTCTGCTTTATGTGGATGTGATCATCTTCAGGCCAAGACCTTCAGCATGCCCTGTGGCGGTGCACAGCTGAGTGAGAAGTGGTTGAGGCCATGGTTCTCAATAGGAAGTAGGTGGAAAGCCTCCTCTAGGTCAGTGGGGAGTTGTAGCCCCAGGAGAGTTTAAGCAGGCGTCTTGCTCCTGAGTGATGGGAGGATGGAGCTGGAGATGGATCAATGGATTTGGACCTTGTCCCACTTCAGTCGGTCAAAAAAAATTATTAAGTTAAAGTTATATCTCATGACTTACTGGTCTGTCTATGTTCCAGTCCTCATCATTAGCCAGGAGGTTTGTATCATGACCAAAAGAATGAGATCCAGGATCCAAGCGGCTGAAAAGAGCTTCCTTCATACGGCGGTTGAGCTCAGTCTTAGAGATAGCTCCGCCATCCTGAGCTCGGAGTAGAGCCAATGCTCCGTCTAATCCAATGCTCCGTCTAATCCAATGCTCCGTCTAATCCAATGCTCCGTCTAATCCAAAGGAGTAAATTGGGGTTTGTACATCCCAATCAACATGGAACTGAGTGCACCTGACATCTGAAATCTCTCAGCCATGGACATCAGCTTTGTTATACTGAATCAGTAATCAGTTGTTTTCTTCTAAAAGCTCAGTAGGGGTTTTAGTGTTTGAAGTTTGATTAAACTTTTTGTCTCACCTTTGACTGAAAGTTTAGTGTAGAACAAATTTCCATATTTTGTCTGGATCAAATTTACTAAAAAAAACAGCAATAATCATGTTTTCCTCTGTTTGGATTTGGACCAGAAATAAATGGACGTAGTTCTGGAAGCTGTGCTTCCTACTAATGTTAATTAAACATATCCAATAAATTAATGAGAAAAAACTGATAACTAATGAAAGGTAAAAAAAAACATTTATTTAATTGGGTTACTGTGGACAGACCACTTTTGTTAGGATTTGTGGTTAGCAGCGAACCCAGAGTGCAGAACAGGGACTCAACTCGGCAGATATACAAAAAATATGATTTAATGATAAATAAAAAGTACAAAATAAATATGCTGACGGGGCAGCAAAACTTACATAAACAAGGAGGGAGGCACGGGGAACTCGGGAGACACGAGGAACTCGAGGAACCAGGAAAACAGAGAGACTCAGGAGACTCACCCAACGAAGACGACCCGACAAAGGACAAGACAGAATAGGGAGACTTAAATACAAGGAGAAGACGAGACATGATGACAAACAGCTGGGACGAGACACAGGTGGCAACAATGGAAACTAACGAGGAGCACGAGGGAAACAGACACACCGGGCCACAGAAAACTAACATCCTTACAACTTTAGCCTGATCAGCATCACAGGCCCTCCATCCACCCCACGCCCCCCGTCTCCACCCTGTTTGGTCCCTGTTGGCCCATTCATCAACTGGCAGATGCACAGATTATCCACCAGCTGTCATGGCTCATCTGAGTATTATGCACAGGTTTGATTTATTAAAGAACCATATACATCCAATGGCTTTGTCTCCAAAGCCTATGGGTGCAGAGGTTGCTGCAGTAATTGGATCAGAATCAGAATAAACTTTATTATCATTGCACTGAGATACAAAGAGAAGTACGTACAGTCGTCCGAAAGATGGGCGGAGTACACGCAGCTGCTACTATATAGAGCGGCCTTCTTATCCTTTTCAGAATACATTTTTAGATAGAAAAAAGGGACAAAGCCATGAGGAGAGGATAGTGGCATTACAAAAAAAATCTCCACACCTTGTCCTAACAAGACACGATTTAAGACATAAAAAACCTCTGCCAGCAGCACATTTATCAACATGTTACATATGCATATACGACGAGGCAATTCATGAAGCACTAACAGATAGTCCATTGTCCTGATAAGATGATGGTCAGCCGGTACAGTTCTGATAAGCCTCCACAGAAGATGTGTTTGTGTGTGTGTGTGTGTGTGGGGGGGGGGGGGGGGGAGATAAACAAAGCTTTTCCTTAGTTTACACATTTCCCAAGAGAAATTGATAAGTCGGCCAGTTTCAAGGCCAACCGGGGAGTCAGATTCTGACAATCCACAATTGTTATTTATTCAGGCAGACTATTTTTCCTTGTCAGCCTTGAGTCTTTACTGATATTTCTAAAGTCCGAAATTGCCAGATAAGGGTGCATTCTACTGGTCTGTGCTTATGAGCTTCTTCAAGGTCGTTTTCATGCTGACGAGTTCCAAAGCCGCAGGTGGCCTGTGATTCAAATCACTTCCAACTTACGGTTTAGCTCATAAATCCACTGATTTTGAGTCCTCAACGTATGAACCAAACCTTCACGTAGGCAGCAGCCTGGCGAGGGCCAAATTATCTGCGGCCGTCTTCTTTATATATTGATAAACCAGGATCCAGACTATTCCAAAAACAGGAAACCTGTTATCATAAATCCAATTATATGCATTTCAGCGTCCTTGATCGACAGCAGACCTATACACATCACATTCCATTTCCCCAGAGATATATCCAGCTGCACGTGTCGTCCAAGCAGATGAGGGTTCTCCAGGACCCTGTCGCTTTGTTGAAAAGATTTTGTCATTTGCATCGAAAGTCCAGTTGCTCAGATCCAAAACAGTAGTTTTCATTTCGGAAGATGTGTAAAAATAGGAGCTGCTCCGATACAGACAGAGAGCAAATAAGCAGGAGGAGAACAGGGAGAGGGAAGAGAATGTGTGTGCCTCGTTACAGAGCCAGTGAGGGGAAAAAATTATAATCCAGCAGTATCTGTGAATTGGACAAATTATCAGAATCCTGATTTAAAACCACTGGCTGTGCTGATGAACCTGGGCCTTTGTGTTGTCTCTTGATGATGACAAAACACTAACTTGCCATTCTGTCTCTTTGGTCCATCTTTTTATTACCTCCAACCCTGGACGTCCTTTGCTCAGTGTGTTCATGTATTTAGTCCGCAGGAAGGGCCACCGATCTGTTGTGTTCCATGATGATGTCACCGACAACAATTTGTTCCTCGCAGAAACTAAACTTTGATGTTTATCTTAGGTATGTGTGTTTTTACCATCATTCTGGACGATGTAGGTAAATTGCTATGGTGCCTGCTACTGTGTCACTCAGTTATTTCAGCTGATGAGTTTTTACCTAATCAGGTTAGCCCTTGTCAGAAATAATGTGTAATGGGTCAGAACTTTGTACTATGTTTATATGGAAAAGCTGCTGAAGCACACTGATCTCATTTGGCTTCAACTTCTCTGCTGAGGCTGTTAGAATCAGCCGGTGCAGCCATTTTCACAGCTGTTCCAGCAAAACTTCTGAAGATAGTCTAATAAAACTTGTGGTCAAAGAACTTGTGGAAGGACTTATGTACAAAGAAGATAGCATAGAAACATAGACAGCTCTTGGAGGCTCTTCTGTCAAAAAGGGAGTGCCCCTCAGCAAGGCAGAGTCATGACAAGTGACCTATGCCCCCTTCTTATTGTGCACCGTCTTTTGGAAATTATGGCAGTCTCTTCTTTACAAATCTAAAAAACAAATGAGCTTCTCTTCGGTTAACAACAGAAATACCGAATTCTCTTTCCAATTCCTCAATCATTAACTGAAAATGTTAACATTCACTCTGCCAACCGTGCCGTCACTGTTGTTTCTGTGGGAGGGCTTACCAGGACTTCTACCCCTCAGTTTCTATTTAAGTATAAAATGTCAATGTGAAAAGAACGTCTCACACCTCTGTCAACGAGATTTAATGTCTCACATCTTGGGAGGTACAAACCAGCCTTAAACCATCAACAACCCCAACA